AAAAGGAGGGAAATCATTCGCATTTTGATAAAGTAGATCACATAAATGAAGACCCATTCCTAATAAAATACCAAGAAAGTGATCTAACGATTTTCCAGTTTTGAGAGATTACAAGCCACATTTTTCAAGTAGTTTCACCTCAAAAGCAATAACGAGGCCATAAGTAGCAATACATAATGGGATATTAAGAGATGCACACCATTGCCTCCAATGAGGCTCTAGGCGACGTTGATAAATCCTCCGAGAGCTCAAACAGTTGTTGTTCTGAGGTAAATCTTCTCTCGGTTGAAATTACCATTTTCTGCAACCTAGGAGTATTTTTCAGCAAAAATTTCACAATCTGGATGAAATATGGGTCGCGTATATGGCAGCTATGTATCCTAATGCTCTCGAGGCAGGGTAAGGTTGCCTCCTGTGAGTTCAAGTATCCCTCTCCATCAAAATCATATTCCCAAATCCATTTTGTGTCCGCAGTCTGGCAGCACAAAGTTTAATGACCTTAGTACTCCAATTCAGGGAAAGATGGACGATGAAAATGATTATTCAAAATATGAGGAGAAATTTGTACCTGAAAGAAAGAATCAGATTGACCAAGGGCAAGCATGGTAAGTTCCACGAGAGAAGAAGAAGAATGTTTCAGGAGGAGAGAAAGCCCGGGAAGGTCCCATTTTGTGAGATGAAGTTTAACTTTGATATGCTTCCACTGGAACTGTGGGCAAACGACATTCTTCAACTTCCATATTGACATCAGCTGCTCATAAAAGTATAAAAACCAATTATATTCATGTAGTCCCAGCATGTAGCATATGTTATCTCATGAAATTTACAAGATCTGCATTAGTGAGGATACAAGGCCTACATAAATTGTCACAAAAGTTTCTTTTTGCTCTTTTCATTAACGTATCACCTTTTGTGTTCTTGCGGCTACCATATAGAAATAGTTTCCTCATTTAAAGAAATTACGCAAAACTACAGCATATAAACTGTTTTCAGCCGTTTAGGCATCAGAGTTCACTGTCATGCTCATAATCAGATTAACACTCCATATTTTACATCATGAAAGTACTCTGTAAATGATTCGTTCTTCACCAAGAATAAATAAATAAATCCAAAAGCCTTTGATTTCATCTCTCATGCAATAAAGAAGTCAGATGTTCAAATAACTTGAAACACATATAAAGGCACAAAGGATACCAAAACACTCCCATCGCATATGCTGAAAGTCCTGCACCGGCTAGCCATGAACAGTAGGGCCCGCACTAAAACATATTTCCTGTCCATGCATCTGAACGAGCTGATATAGTCAACGGAAGCTTCGACCAAAGATGAGACATGTTCCAAAAACACACCCTCGATCCATCCAGATATTCCTATTGACACTACATGAGGACACTGCACGACCACAATCCACTTATTCACGGCCAGACTAAGCATCAGCTTCTTCAAGTTTGGGTTTTTGGAATTCAACTGGCGAAAGCCATGACAATCAAACAAAGACAGATCCTCAAGAAACGGGCAACCATTCAAGATTCTTTCTATGGCTTCATCACTCAATAAAACCTTATTGAGAAACAAGACTCTCAGTGCCGGCAGATTTATTTGCTCGCAAGATCTAATGTCACAAGCGGCCAACCGCAAATTCGTCAAGTATCCAGTATTTAAAACATCCGGTAACTCATAATATTGTTCAATAAAATCACAGCCCTCAAGATCGATATCCAAAACCTTGACTTTTCTGCTAACAGCATAACCGATTAATTTCCCCACCTGATATAAAGCGGCCCTCTTTTTATCCACCTTCCGTCTTTCATAATCACTAAGGTTGGGATTATTAAGGTCGGACTCAGTGTAATGTGAATAAGTTAGCGCAAGGGCAAACCTGAGGTGCAATTTATTCAACGTGTTCTCACCTTGATGATTCCAAACCTGATGAACAACATGCATGAAGTTTTCATTGTCACAAATCACGACATCTGTATCTTCATCATCCTCATGGTACACACAGTTGTCCAAATCAAGAACCGGCAAGCTAAGCCACAGTTTACCGAATCTTGGAAGAACAACAGTCCTAATGGCATCACGTAGCGGCAGAAAGGAAAGAATGTGAACCAGAATCGGGTCTGGCAAGTCACTAAAAAAATCGTGGTTTTCTTCATGAGATTTTTTTACCCTTTTCGTATGCGAAAATATCTCTTCCTCCTCGTTACTGCTTATATCCATGGTAGAATATGATGATACTATCCAAATGATGCCTGATGAATGGAACTTGATCGAGAGCTCAGCACAGAATCGGCTGAAGTGCAAAATTAAATAATTAGTGCGAAACATGAGACGGATGTTACAGTCACAGTCACAAACGTATTTAAGTCCACTTCACAAATGTAATTTATTGAACGACCTGCAGCTTCTGGACTTGGAGAAATTGAGAAACACCCAATTGAAAATGGTTCTAGGGTTCTAGCAGCTTTTGCCCCCAACATCGAAACTCGGGATTTACAGGTGAGATCTGTATTAAAAATGAAGCCGTAAAAATAACGCATCATGAAATAGAAAGTTGTTAAATGATATAGGAAATTAGGAATAGAGTTACCCGAACTGATTGAAAGACAGTAGTTTTAGCCATTTCTTTTGCTCTTCTTTTCCCTCTGTGCTTCGTCGTGTGACTATAAATGTGTTTGCACCTATCCACTTTCACCGGGAACTGAGTTTAGATAATTTTTTCATCAAACCATATTTGAAGAGGATTATTGGTATTCTCACTTTTCCTCCCGGTGACTTCAATTCATGACCAATCGGGTCATAGGTGAATTTCTTACCACTCATGTTGTTCAATTAACCTTTGGCACAAAAGATTTTATAAAAAGTAATTCAAAACTCCATAAAATAATTATAAGACTTTTATACCCTTAAATTCTATTTTCAGAAAAATCATAAAAATTAATCAAAAAAATAAGCTAAAAATACTTATGTTATAAATCTTCGGAAAATGAGTAAGACAAACAATACTCCCTTTTGAAGAAATATTGAAAAAATTCGAGATAATCAAGAATTAATTATTGGAAAACTTGAAAAACGAGTAGAAATATCGTATTTCTTGATACTCTACTTACAAAAATTCTTGATATTACTTATAGATAATTTTTCTTATAAATAATTTACTAGTATAACACCCATGTATTACATGGGTGGGGACGGTGCCTCATCCCGTCATAAAAGTGGGATGAGTATGCGGACAAGTCAAATCCAAGATCGTTCCGGACCGCTCCCACCCCTACCATAAATAATCAACATATTTATAGATAATCCAAACCTATCCAAGCCTAATAACGAAGCATGTAATTTTGTCACATGGGATCCCGAAGCATGCGAGCCTGCCACATAGGCTCAACACGTTCTCAATTAATATATAGGGGGGGATTTTATTTGTTCCTATAGATTTAAAAAGGAGCTAATTACATTCCAACATTGATGACAGACAAAGAAGAAAATGCGTCTTAAGCTGGGGAGGAAGGAGACGGTGCATCTAAAGCTTTTACTTTTGCTCGTGTTGTCCAATCTAATCCACCACAACATCAAGTTTTGTAGGTTAGAAAAGATTGCAAGCATACTGAAGTGAAGGAAGTAGGGAAGGATGAGATGAGAATATTTTATGAGCAAATGGAGATGTAGATGAACAACTTTTTTTAAAGAATCAAAAGTGTGTGGTTTTCCATAAAAAGACGTTACATCTACCCGTGCTACTTGGGGACAAATATTGATTCAGATATTGAGCAGGAAAATAATGTGCGGAAAAAAAACAGTCTGCATTGAATGTGTTAAAGATATTTTTAAATTAAATGCATAATATTAATATAAATTGGTCAATTATTATTTAAAATAAATGCAACAAGTTATTGTAATTTATTCTTATAGTTAATGGTATATTTTAATATAAATGCAATATATTATTGAATTAGTTAATATTTTTCTAACTTGTAGACACGATTAGTTTACTATCTCCCAAAGTTATTTATGTGAGAAAGAATCGTAAACCCATCCCCGATAATTACATGGATGAAATGGTTAAACTTCGTGATGAGGTGGGCTTCGAGATAAGGGCCAAAGGTGATGTTGTCTTAGTTGAAGACTATATTTCTGAGGTGGATGTCTCACCAATAATATTTGATAAGAATGAACATGGATTTGATACGAGTATATAAAATATAATTGTAATTATATATAATTGGATAGTGCATTCTTGTACAGAAATGAGTATTGATTGTTTTGTTGCTTATTGTAGGTGTTTTGACCAACCCATCATCAGTCATTATTGTGTTCCAAAAAAGGCAACTCTCGATAACTATGGAGATCGAGAAACACGCATTGGACTTGGATAATTTTTTAAAACCGTTGACATTGAAGATGATGCACTAGAGACTCCTAAGGGAGGAAGGCAGCAAAAGAAAAGAAATGCCGCCATTCTACTTACTCCATAGAAGAATCCTGAAAAAATAATGAAATTTCTAAATGTTAAGGAGTACAACCCTTTTAGGCCAGCCGATCCGGCTAAACATGAAAATCTCAGTATGTGGCTATCGAGCTCCCTTGAAATGTGTGCATTTGTGTTAAGTTAATTATAAGCTACTTATTGTAATATATAAGGTTGTCTTTGTTTAGATTTTTCATGTAGTGCTAAAGTTGGGTTATCTTGGGGTAAAGTACGAAAAATATTTTTTCTAATATTATGAAACAGTGGCGGATTCATATGTGGTCGACCCTAAGCAATTGCCTAGGCTCTAGTTTTTTGCTAACTACACATAGTTAACATGTGTTAATAAAAAATTTATATTAAATATTTGTAAAAATATGAATACAAGTTTGTATTTTAAAGTTTTAAGTAATTCTTACATCATAACATTATTGTTTTTATTTAAAATGGTACACTTCACCGGTCAGATTGGGCGATTTTTTATTATAACATTTTTAGTACTTATACCATGTAATAAGCTTGATAGATAATCAGGGATGGATCCAAAAATTAAGAGTCGACTAGGCTACAAATTTAAAAACTTATTTTCACAAAAATCACATAATATTTTTTCTTCAAATATTGCTCGACGAGCTTCTTTATGCCCATTTTGCACAGTATTTGATGTACTTTCACTAGTTTGACGTCGATCCCGTTTTCTAAAAAATGATGATATCAACGAGGTTTTTCCTTTCTTGGCCGAATGTTGGTGCTCCATGTGAATTTCTAAAAAATTCACAATACAAATAAATAGATTTTCATATGACATAGTTATTAGCAAATTGAAATGCCTACACATCACAAATTTATATCCAACTATGATATACAACAATCACACTTGAGGATAAGAGATTAAAACACACACACACACACACAATTACTACTTCATACACAATAAATAGCACGATCAAAATAAGAAGATAAACAAAGACAGTTAGACAAATAAAAAAATATCTAATAGGGGGTTTAAAAATATAGTTTACTATTAAAGAAGAAATTAAATCGTCTTCATGAAAGTAACTCTTTCTTGTTGAATAATTTTTTCTTCGCCTAAATTCATTGTTTTGGTGTTTAGAGGAAGGGCATAGCCGTAGCTAATTTATTTGATTGGAGTTTGGTGTATATTATTAGAGTGACGTTAGTAGTCTTTGAACTTAATAGATAGTGAATTATTTTGGTGGTTAGCAAGTTAGTTTATTGCGTTGGGCAAGAAATAATTTATTTTTTCAAATTAATAGTTGTTAAAGAAAAAAAGAACATGCCTAGGCTGAAGTGCAGCCCAGGTCAAAGATAGGTCCGTTCATGTGGATAATTTTTTTTCAATTATAATTGATAAATATTGAAATTTTTATTGATAGAGATTAGATAGATATAATTATTGTAAAATTTATATATACAATATGAATGTCAAACTATATAATGTTAAAATATGACTAGCTTAAGTTATCATATATATATAAATTAATAATATATATAAATGTTATTAACTTTTAAAATGTATTTACAGTTTAAGTTATCCAAGCGTTTAAATTTGAAAGTTCAGGATAAAGATCCATATTTGTATGGACTATTTCAAATTCTTAAAAATTAACATATAGAATTACAAAATGTTGAAAATTGACAATGAAAAACTCTACATTTATATATAAGAAGATAATCCATAATTATTTTTTTTTATAAAATAACAAGAACAAAAATGATGACATTTAGACTTTTCTTAAATTAATAAATTATAATATAAAATGACTTGTTTATTCCTTATTAAAATAAAAAATGAAGGAAAAATGATTGTAAAATATTTTTAGTATATTTCTTAATAATAATAAGAACGTAAAATAAAATAATCAAATCTCATTATCAATTTCATTTTTTAGCATCAAGTCAAAGACAAATTTAATAGAGAACCCCTCAACACCTGATTGTTCCAACGATTTATTTAATTGTTAATATAAGTACTTTGTGCAATATGGTTATAAATTTTGTCGAATTATTATTTGCCCTGGCTCATGTAAATTTCTGGATCCGTCGCTGATTATGAAGGGTGAATAGCTTTCCAGTGAAGTAAACTATTTACAAAAAATTATTCGATATTTTACTCCTCTAAACATGATATTTACTAATCTAATAAACATTATACTCTTAGCATTTAGATGCAACCTTTTTCATATTCGAGGGTGCTATAGCCTTCCATCTCTTGTTTAAACAAGATTGTGCCATCTTGGGCTCGCATTTCGTCTCTTATGTAAGAATGCACTTTAGACAGAGGTCAAAGACTCGAATCTTGGATAATTCCGAACCTTTAGATAAAATACTACTATAATGATACCACATTCGGTATATAACACATTAGAACATGATGTAGGAAGCGTACGATGGGATTTGTGATAACAGAGAAAACTCTCAAGAACGATATTTTATTTCATAATCAATAATCTGATGAATGACAAAGAGAAAGTGTCTTATATGCTGGACACTTCACGACCTAACAATAAATCTTAAAAGCCCAATAACACAAGCCTAATAATGCTAAATAAAAGAAACATAAATAATAAAAACCGAATAATAATCAAACAAGGGGTCGGAGACGGTCATGCTTGTCGAGGAACGCCAACGCACTCTCGTCGGCATCATTCTCCCCCGGCTGGAGAGGATTCGCCTCGAATCCGAACCACTCTCGTCGTCAGAATTGTCCCCGCGAAAGGGTACCAAGTGTTTGACGTTAAAGACATCGGAGGTGCGCACATGTGAATGGAGACGAAGACGGTAGGCGTTCGGATTAATTTTCTCAACAATCTCCACAGGCCCAATCTTCCGGGCGACCAGCTTATTGTACTCGTGAGCCGGAAAACGGTCCTTTGTCAAGATAGCCCAAATGAAATCGCCGACATCGAACTCCAAACGCCGCCGGTGCGCGTCCGCCCGCCTGTACGCCGTCGTCGTGGCGTCCAAATTCGCACGGACCACGTCGTGAGTGCGCCGCACCTCGGCCATCAACTCCTCCGCCCGCTTATCCTCGAGCCTGGAAGACGGCAAGGCGATCAAATCCGCCGGTCCCCGAGGAACCATCATGTACACCACCTGAAACGGGCTGTGCCGAGTGGCACGACTCAACGCCGAGTTGTGTGCAAACTCGGTTTGGCTAAGCCGGAGATCCCACGAACGCAAGTTATCCCCAACAAGGCAGCGCAGCAAGTTCCCCAAAGAGCGGTTGACGACTTCAGTCTGGCCGTCAGTTTGGGGATGATAGGCACTGCTAAAGTCGAGCCTGGTGTTCGCCTGGCGCCACAAACTACGCCAAAAGAAATTGAGAAAGCATGTATCGCGGTCGGAGACAATGGACGTGGGTAAGCCATGCAAGCGATAAATCTCACGAAAGAAAAGTTGAGCCACGTGCACTGCATCAGTGGATCGCTTGCAGGGAATGAAGTGGGCCATCTTAGAAAAGCGATCAACAACCACGAAAATGGAATCATTACCTCGCTGTGTACGTGGGAGACCAAGGACAAAGTCCATCCTAATGGCACACCAAGGCTGCGAGGGTACCGGAAGTGGGCGATACAACCCGGCGTTCGAAGCCACCCCTTTCGAGACCTGACAAATTCTGCATCGCTCCACAAAACGCGAAACATCGCGCCTTAAGGTAGGCCAAAAGAAGGTGCGTTGTACGAGCTCAACTGAGCGATCCCGTCCCACATGTCCTGCTCAATGCAAATCCCCAATAAGCTTCAGTCGAAGGCTACCCTCCGGGATACACAAACGGACCCCTTTGAAAAGGAATCCCTCACGCACAATAAAATCATCGATTGGGCCCGCAGCCAAACGCACAAGAATGGGTCCAAAGAAAGCATCAGAGGCATACTGATCACGCAATAAATCAAACCCAGTGACCGAAACTCGCATATCAGTCAAAAGAAGAGAACGTCTACTCAAAGCATCAGCCACACGATTCGACGTACCTGACCTGTGTTTGAGGACGAAAGTGAACTGCTGCAAGAACGTAGTCCAAGATGCATGTCGGGCAGAGATGTTGTCTTGAGACGAAATGTATCGTAACGCCTCATGATCAGAGAACAATACAAACTCACGATGAAACAAATAGTGTTGCCAATGACGTACAGCCCGCACAACCGCATACAGTTCCACATCGTAAGTACTATAACGCGTCCTCGGGCCTGACAACTTCTCGCTAAAAAAGGCCACGGCCGTCCCTCCTGACTCAGAACGGCCCCAATACCCATTTTCGATGCATCATAAGAGAGCTCGAAAGGTCGAGAGAAATCCGATAACACCAATACAGGCGCAGAGGTTAGCTTCTCCTTAATGCGATCAAAAGCGATAGCGGCCTGAGGTGTCCACACAAACGACTTGCCTGTAAGGCAATCAGTAATCGGGGCTGTGATGGAGCTAAAGTGGGCAATGAACCGCCTATAAAAAGAAGCCAAGCCGTGGAAGCTACGAGCTTCCGTGAACGACGTCGGAGTCGGCCACTCACGAATAGGGGTCACTTTACTCTCATCCACACGAACACCATCGGCCGAAATAACAAAGCCCAAAAACAAAACTGAATCCACGAAAAATGAACATTTGCCCAGAGATGCGAAAAAGGACTCAGCACGTAAAATGAGAAGTACCTCGCGAACATGGCACAAATTCTCCTCGACGGAACGACTGTAGACGAGTATGTCGTCAAAATAAACGACGACACACTTCCCAATGAGGTCACGAAGAGTCTGATTCATCACTCGCATAAAGGTGCTAGGTGCGTTCGATAAGCCGAAGGGCATAACCATCCACTCAAATAGACCCTCACGGATCTTAAAGGTTGTCTTCCACTCGTCCCCCGGTCTAATTCGAATCTGATGATATCCACTCCGGAGATCCAGCTTCGAGAATACAGTCGCGCCGT